TCCCTAAATCTTACACATGACAATGACTTTCTACCTACATTTTTTTTATTAGCTATCTGATAAATATTTGAACATATTAACTAACTCTAACAACATATCTAGTTGATCAAAATCTAACATCAGTTCTTAAAATGGCAATGAAGTGGTGCCACATACAAACTAACCAAGCGCCTCTACACACATATAAAACTACATTCAGGTCGCATGGGAATTGTTCTATGTGAGAGCAGGATCAATTTCTGTGCAACATGATTTTGCTTTTTGCTTTTTCCCCGTTGACATTTCATAAAGGTCCTGAGCACATGTTGCCTTCAGAGAACTACACACTACTGTGCTAATTACCCTCATATCTATTCATTTTATTAATATAATGAGACATATTCATAACTCTACCCATAGTTAAGCACTTTAATTTTTCAGCATGATTACAAAGATAAGTCAACACTCAATAAGTTCCTGCCAGGTGTTGCCATGAATTATGCCAGGCACTTTTATTATGTTACTCATTTATATCTCACAAGAACTGCATTTTATGAGTGAATTGTCTTAATGTTCATAAACAATGGGACCAGGATTTAATTTTTTAGATTTCTTGAAGGCTCACACACCTCTTCTTCCACTTATAGCAAATTTTCAAGAAACAAAGCCACAGAGTGGCTGTGATTTATGGCCTACCACTTAACTCCCTTCCAGAACTCCTAGTCATTCCTTAACATCTATAGCAAACATTACCTTCTGTGTTTAATTCTATAACATACCAGTACACTAGTTCTATATGCTATACTTATCTCTGTTATTGTACATATTACTTACATATTGTAATGATTTGTTCATCCTTCCTACTCAACTATTTGCTCCTAGTAAGACATGTTAAACTCATCTCTTAATACCCAAAATCGAGTGCAATGTCTGCTTAGCACATAACACAAGTTTTCTGCTGCATGTGTTCCTCTAACATAAACTAGCTCATGTGCTTCTTAAATAAGGATCAGGTCAGTGAAGTAAAAGTCTCAACATTTCACACCTGAGTTTTCCTCACACTGTCATCAAGTAACAGCAAACAGAAAGTACACAGAAAGTACACAGAAGGCCAAAACTGCAAGCTATGAAAATGCCAGCTCACCACTTCTTCCTCTTCAGTTCTATTTAGCCACAGCCTGTCTTAGAAACTCTGTCCTCAGTTCACATCTACATGCACTTTGTGCTTGTCTCAATCTCAACCTTCCCTAATACTTCTTTCTATTATCTTTAATTATATTTTTAATGTAAAGTCATATACCCACTATGCCATTTGTTGATTAAGGGTTTCACATGTCTTTTGCCTGTGCCAGTATTTTTATTAGTACTGTTAGCAGGGTTACAAAGTTCTATAGGTTTTGAATAGTCTCTCAATGCATTGCCCCAAGAAATTTAATTAATAATTTTGAAAAATAAAGATTTTTTTCAGGAATACATGTATTTCATTCTCACAGAAACTCCTATTCTCAAAGCATTTAATGAGCTTAATGACTATGCAATGTTTATCGATTTGACTATTTATTCAGTCGTTCATTCATCTGGCAAATTTTTACTGAAAATCGAAGTTAAAAAAGGTATTGTTCTAGGCACTGGAGATAATATAATGGGCCAAATATGACCAGTACAACTGTGTGTACAAGTGTGAAGGTGTATGGGTACATGTGTATATATTTATAGTCATACTCAACCAAACAACCTTGTATTACATGTTATTGCTAGAAGTACTTTGTAAACTCTACATCAGCAATTTCCCAACCACTTCACAAGAACCATTTTTTCTGTTCCACGCGAGAACTCTTAAGCAGAGACAAAGAATACCACATTTAAAAAAAAGTCAATCCTGTACATATAGCATGCCCAGTCCATGAGAAACTTCCAGGAAACCTGAAGCTTGCCAATCTGTGATTTTTAAAAACCACTGATCTAGCAAGAATGCCTCATCTTTACATGATCCCTTTAGTGGAAAAAAAAAAAAAAGTAACATGTATTGAGGTCACTAGAAAGCTTCCCAAAGAGGCTTATTTCACTTCATTCTTCTCTTTCCCCTCCCATACTGCTAGCTTAGTAGCAGTTCTAAGTTTCCTTATCCCAAGCTCTAATCCATTAAGAAGGTTATGTGAGAGATTTGAGCTTGGAGAAAAAGAGGGGAGAGTAGATAATTAGGCCAAGTCTTTAAAGATTTAGGGGGAAATCTCACTATCCTTGTGGTTCAATTTTAAAGGTTGGAAATTAAGGTGAAAATCTAGAGGAGGAGATTTGTGATCTCATAGATTACAAAAGATCTCAGCACACTCATGAGGGTAGGAAACCAAAAGGACAGAGGGCAGAATCCCTTCATATTTGGGACACTTTAAAAACAAGATAGGCAAAGACCCCCTGCTGTGTGAAGTTTACATGTTCAGGCACAGAGTAAAAAGAGAAGCAAGACAAACAGAATGAGTAAGTCAATTATATAATCTATCTTAGACAGGGATACATGATACGAAGAAAAATGAAAGTGTGAAGCTGAGTAAGAGGGATTGGGAGCGCCAAAAAGCAAGTGTAAAGGGGTCGGGGCAGGGGAAGAGGGGAAGAATGTAGTCTGCAATTTTAAGTAGAGTGGTCAGGGAGGAATTCACTGAGAGACAAGCCCTTTATAAAGACTTTAATAAAGGATATGAGGGAGCTCTCCATGAGGACATCTGTACTCCTGCAGCTATGGAACATCCAGCTGGGATAGAACACAGTGACAGAGAGATAAACAGGGCAGAATAAGACAGGGAAGAGGCCAGATCAGGCTGAGACTGACAAGGAACCACTGCAGGGTACTGAGCAGATCTGGTTTATATTTATATTTTAAATAGATTACTCTGCTAAATGACGAACAGACTACAGTGAAGTACAAATATACATAGGAATTACCAAGTCAAAAGATGGGGGCTGAATCAGTTAGCAGCACGACATGTGATGATGAGAAGAGGGCAAGGGGTCAAATCTTTTTTCCTTCATCCAATCATAGCAAATGGGGTTCAACTTATCACAAATCCAAATTACAAAACATGCCACTAGCAGCAGACTTTTTAAAAAAGATTTACTTAGAAAAATTGGGGTAGTGGCCAGAGGTGTGGAGGTTGAGTGTGTTTGAGATTAATCAGAGACAGAGTGGGAAGAAGAACAGGCAGATCTTAAGGGGAGCAGTGGGGAAGACAGGAGAGGTCTGCTGTGCCATATGTGGGTCACCTCTCTTACTGAGGATAGAACTCAGGCTGCAGCAGTCATAGCATGATAGGCTGAGACTTAACCCCTATGCCACCAGGAAAGCCCACAGCATCAGACTACTTTTAATCCAATTTTTTTAATATCTATTTATTTATGAATACAGAACTGGGGTACAGGCCAGAGGTACAGGGGCCGTGAGTGGATTCACCAGAGACAGAGTGGGGAGCAGAGCAGGCAGACTGATGAAGTGTACTGCTGAGGGGAGCAGCAGGCAGGTCAGGAGAGGTCTGCTGCACCATGTGGGTCACCTCTAGGGCTGGGGATCAAACGCACACTGAAACAGCTACAGCTAGCTTGCTGCATTGTAACCTGCTGTACCACCAGGGTGGGCCAGACTATTTAATACAGTTCCAATTCCTTAAGCAAAGTCTACACATTTCTGAGATATTTCATATAAAGTTTTCGACCATTATAGCAATTTCTCCCAGGGAGACATATTTTTGAGTCAACATATCTAAGTCAGTGGTAATATTTTTTCACTCCTTCTGTAGTCTTCATTTGAGTATATTTCAACAGATGCCCCTTTTAAAAATTGAAGACAAAAACGTAACCAAGAAATATTCTTATATATTAATAAAAATACTGAGCACTGGTGGTAAGGCTTTCTGTAATTTCCTATTTCCAAATGCTACCACTGGCAATTTAGTAAATTTATTATTTCTTTATATTCTTACTTAGTAATCTGTTTCAGCCTCATTTTAATTCATTCTTGTATTCAAACTCACAGGAAAATATATATATATACTATGACATAATCACTTGACTTTGATAAACATATATATATAAACATGAGAAAAAAAGACATTTTGTTTGACTCTGTGACTCAATAAACATATAAATAAATAAGTATGCAAGCAAGCTTAGTGGGCTTTTTTTTTCTCTTTTAATACTAGTAGCTTCCTAGTATCAGGGATCAAATTCAGGTTTTAGTATTATGCTTCCTGACATAAAACAATTATTGTCCACAAGGCAGCTGGAGGACTTAAGGGTAGAAAAAGGAAGAATATGTATATAACCTTATCATGCAATATTAGAAGACTCCATAAAGAGCTAACTTAAGGAAAAGCTAAAAGTTCTCTGTCTACTCTAAAGACTTTAAAGAACTGTTCTCCATAGGCCCTCTCTGGTGGCACAATGGGTCAAAGTGCAGCACTGAGGTGCTGGCCACAGCTGTCTCAGTGACAGTTCAATCCCCACCACAGAAGAGACCCACATGGTGCAACAGACTTCTACGGTCTTGCCCACTGCTCCCCTCAGCGGTGTATTTCATCGATCTGCCTGTTCTGCTCTGTCTCTGGTGAATCTTCTCACTGCTCCTGCACCTCCGGCCTGTGCCCCAGTTCTAAACACATAATTAAATCATTAAAAAAAAAATAAAACTGTTCTCTAGAAGTAAAAAAAAAAAAAATTGGGCTCCATATTTTTTTGATAATCCTTTCACAATAAAATTAAACACATGAAATAATGTTCTACACTTTAAACTCTTATTTGTTACCTTACTTGAGCTACTGTAAAATATCAAATTATCTGAAAACAGAATAACTCTTAGTGACTCCTAAGACAAAAATCATGTTCCAAATAGAAAATGGCAATATTATTTACTGAAACACAAATAATCTCACAAAAATGTAATTTTTAACAAAACCATATGCAATTAGTGAGTTAACAATAGCTAAGCAAAACAGATGGCAGGTGAGAGTTACAGATCAGTAGGACAGTCTTACCTTCCGATGTTTTCCATTGTTTCCAAAGATCTTCCACAGTTATGTGCTTATCTTCTCTATGCAGATGGCTATGTTTATTAGTAGCATCTTTGTATTTCATATCTTCTCTAATAAACTATAAAAGAGAAAACACTAAATTACACATACTTAATGGACTAATTTAGTCTCTTTTTATAAACAGAGGAAAAATTGAAATCCAGTGGGTAGTGATTTTCGATAACTGGTACATTTTTGATAGTTTATACTCATATTCTTCTTACGTGTTTATAAATGCAGCTGTGAAATGTGTTTTACTAGCCAATATAATAATAGCAATAAAAGTACTTACTGAATGCTCATTATTTCCTTGATACTATCCTACACTAGTAAGTACCAATATAGTACATGCACACACACACATTTAACTTACAGTTTAAGATTTATTGATGTATGCATACAGAACTGGGGTACAGGCCAGAAGTGCAGAGGCAGTGAGAGGATTCACCAGAGACAGAATGGGAAGCAGAACAGGCAGATCGACCAAGTACTGCTGAGGGGAGCAGCAGGCGGGTCAGGAAAAGTCTGCCAGGCCATGTGGGTCACCTTCGGGGTGGGGGTCGAACTCATGCTGAAGTGGCTTTAGCTTCTCAGTGCTGTACTCCAACCCACTGTGCCACCAGGGAGGGCCTAACTTACAGTTTTATGTGTAAAGTATTATGTGTCCCCATTTTATAGATGAGAAAACCAAGGCCCAGTAATTTTCCCAAAGATAAAAAATAATGAACAAGAGCTCAGATTCCAACCTAAGCAGTTTGGTTAGGCTCAAGTGAATAATATACAGCCTCAATAGTATGCATTTTTACTAAAGTTTGTAACAGGACTGTTTCAAAATGTAACAAATACATCAATAACTGCATCATATTTCCACATTCTCCTACCTTTTAAGCTATCACATATAATTGCAAAACCACATTCTGATTGAGTAGTTTTTACTGAAACTGAAAAAGAAAATTCTAGTACTATACAGTATTGAGCAATCACTTTATTGAGTCTCAAGTGAATGAAGAAACAAGGCCTTATGGTCAATAACATCATCCAACATATGATCAGAGGACCGGTGTCAGCAAACTGATAATAAGCTACAATTATAGACACAGTCCACTAGAAACTGTATCACAATTAGACTGTTTTCAAAGCATTGGACTCAAGCATGGGATACACATATTTACTGTGTAGGTCCTATGTATAAAGAACTGGAAATGAAAAAAAAAAAAAATCTGGTCCTTCACCACAGATAATTTGAAAAGCACTTATCTAGAAAGTCAATATACGACCATCCTAAATAGCACCTTGCAACTTTTTTTAAAATGCCACATTTTAAAAGTTATTTCTAAAGGGATTTATACTTCATTGCCACCCTCCCTCTTCCTGTCCCTATTTTCACCATCCCTCCTGCTATTACTGACTGACACCTTCAAATCCAGTAGAGAAACCTGGAAAAATCACTGCTATTGAGATGTCTAGAAACTGTGCCTATCTTGGAAGAGGTACAAAAACTAAAAAGAAATTCTAGTCATGATAATGGACAGAACAGGGAGAAAGTGGTCTACAATTGAAACAAACAACTATTTCATTTAAGTGATACATAAAGAAAACTAACAATCAATTAATGGCCTAAGAAATTCTATTTACTATATGAATACAAGAAAACCAAAAGTAGAGTTCTTCAGGGTCAATATATTATAGAACATAATGTTAATTTTTATAGGCTAGCTGTGGCATTATAGATACCTAACAACTTAAGGAAGTCCAAAATGAGTGGATCAGTACCTGCCAAATTATGTACTAAATAAAACAATTAAGATATCAGAAAAAGCAAGTAGAAAAACTTATGAAGGTATCTATGGTTTACATGGTATAAAAAACTAATTCCAAAGAAAGTGGGGTACAAACTAAGAAGCACACATTATATTTTATTTCTCTGGAATAATCATTTTAAATTAATACATACTTTTGTTTTAAAGCATCACCCCAATATAACACAATTCATAATCATATATAAATAAAGTTATTCTATTATCTCAAAAATCTTCACCATTTTGATCATAAAACAGCAGAATACACTATAATTAAGAATATATAATATTAAAACTAAGTTGAAAATGCCGGATTGAAAGTATACTACAAACATCAACCTCCATGAAGCCCTCTTCCCAGTACCCTAGAGAAGAACAAGCCATCATCAGGCAGGCTAGGACAGCACTGAAAATGCATGGCAAAGCAACAAACAGTTCTTATTGACTGAAATCCGCGAAGAAATCTGAAAATAGAAACTGAAATTCTATGAAGCAAATCTACAAATAATGTACAGGCAAATACAGCAGACTTCCTTGACAAACACATCTCATTATTATCTAAATCAACTATAAGAAAACCTGAATTGACAATACAAATAAAGGAGTGTTCAATAAATAAATGACTAGTGAATGTTTATATGTTGTAAGATAAAAAAAAATTAGATAATTCTTTTAACAAATTCTAATAATATTTAAAACCATGTATATTCAGTTGTAGAAAGTTAGCTTTAATATCACTTTCTTATATATTTATTTTATATGTTTTATTTTGCAGGTGCTGTTTGTTTTTAATATTTGTATTTATATTTGCATTTTATATTTGTGGTATAATTTTCATGATACTGCTTTAATGAAATCTGAAACATGTTATCAGGACATACATTTTGGGGCCCTATTCGACATACCTCTTTTTCTAAGAACAAACTACTAACTTTAGTGTAGATCCCTGAATGTGTCCAGTCACCCCCTTCTCTACCTAGCACTGCCATAGCGATCTGATCAAAGAACAGACCTTGATACAGAAGAAAACAATCCAGAATTTGACTATTATTATTTCTCACAAAAAAATACAATTCAGAACATGAAAAGTTGGGTCACTTGGCCACAGCTCTGGACTTTTGAGAGTAAGAAAGATACTAGTGTTAAAGGTACTATTTTATGGGAAGTTAAATGGCTAAGCAGGAAGAACAGAGGATGCCAACACAGCGAGCACAGAAAGAAAGAGAACAGAGGTAAGCACACAGAAAGTAATAAACGGTACCAGGAACTACCTCGGTGCCTGGTCACTTTCCAGCGTTGGTTCTGCAGGCCTGGACTACACAATGACTGTTCTGATTTCCTCAACATTACAATGTTAAATCTGTGTTTCCCCTTTTATTTTTAAATACACAAATTTAAGACATCAATGCCAAGGAAAAATGATTTCTCTTAACAGTTAATTGTTCAGACTTTAGAGCCTGATAAATTAAAAACTTGACTGCACTACTGTGAGATATTTGTAGTACTTATCTTTAGTTTCATATTTCTCCTCCAGACAATGAATAAAATAAAAAATTACACATGGTCATGAACTAATTTTAAAATGTATACATAATACATAGAAGTGTTTGACAATATAATTATTTTGATGATTTTGATAATCAATGTTGTAACTTGTTGAATTTTAAAGAGTGAATAAATGATTTTCACCTTGACTGTGCTGATGGGGTTCAAATATATTTTAGAGAATCAGACATTTATAAAGCTAAAATTGCTCAATATTCTTAAAGTACCACTTTAGATATTGAAACAAAATAGATAAAATCACTCTAGCCTTTCTGTACCACCTAAGGAGGAAGAAAAGATCAAAAATGAGAAATACTTATGAGACCTAATCACAGGCAGCTTTTACCCCATACATTTATCTAGTGATCAAGAGAAAATGTACAAGGCACTCCAAAAAGTAACACGCACACACACACACACACAATTTCCAAAGATAGGATAAGTATCAGAACCTGACATAGCAGGGATGTCAGAATTATAAGACCAGGAATTTAAAACTATGACCAATATGAGGGTTCTAATGGCTAAAGCTAACAGTATGTAAGAATACATGGGCCATCAGTGGTGAAAATCCTAAGAAAAAAACTAGAAAGAAATGCCTGAGATAAGAAATATTAGTAGAAGAAAGAATATCTTTGATGCAGTTATTCACAGACTGGACATGGCTGAGGGAAAAATGTGAGCCAAAGGATCTATCAGTAGAAACCTAGAAAAACAGCAAGGAGAACAAAGACTCGGGAGGGCGGAGGGACCCAGAATATCAAAGAACTATATGACAACTGCAAAAGTCATTAACATATACATAATGGGAATACTAGCTGCAGAAAAAAAGGGAGAAAAGAAAGATATGAAACTGGGGATTTTTAGGACATATTCTCTATGATATGTGCAAATCATACTATGTATAAAAGTGAGGCCTAAAATAAACTACTGACTTTGGGTGATTATGACATGTCAATGTCAGTTCATCCTTGGCATAAGAAAAAAAAATTACTCACTACTCACTAGCCTGGTGGGTTGGGGTAACAATGAGAGAGACTATGACCCTTTGGGGGGGGGGCCCCGGTGAGCAGGGTAATTGGGAAATCTGTTTCTCCCTCTCCAAGCTGTTGTAAATATAAAACTGCTCTTAAAAAAAGAAGTCTAAAAACAAATTTTATATACAACATAAACTTAAAATTTCAAGAAAAGAAAGAATCACCAAAGGAGAAATAAGTCAGAGCAAGGAAAAAAAAAAAAACAAGTTCTTTTCAACCCTATCCTCACAACACCATACTCAGTCAGAATGAATTATTCACTCTTGTATAAATTAGTATCCAACATTATTGCTTTAGTCTTTTCCCTACTCTACCCCTTTACCTTGGGGTGTCCTATTGTCTCTATCTGTAAATACCATATCTATTTCCAAAGGTCTACCTCAAGGAATTCTATCCCCCTTTTTGAGTTATTCCAAGCTTTTCTTGATACTCCCAAAACAGATGTGGACTCCCTCTTCTGAAATACAACAGAACTTCCACAATTCATGTGTATTAATAGTATATAATTTGTCATAACAACTTTAATTACACATGTATGACACATACCCTACTCGTGGTAAGTTCAAGAGGTCCATCCCCATTCCTTCATTCGGTCCCAGACTTATTCAATAATATACATATATATAGTTTAACACATTAAATGTAGTTTGGTTTGACTCAATGGTCCACAGTGCCCTTCATCAGAAGTCTAGGCATGTCTCCCAATTGTTTTTAAAACTTTCAGGATCAAGGTAAAAAAAAATTTCAGTTTGGAAAGGTTTTTATTATCAGTTGAGTTTAACAGCCCTATAGATTCACCCTCTGAACCAAGCATCATGGTAAGAAGCTCAGAGAGGAGTAGTAAAAGGAAAGTTATTAACATTTGGTAATACCACTACCAGGTCATGAGAAATATCAAGGCCAGCTAAGAAAGCCTAAATGAAATACAGGATTAATTAACAGCGGAAAGAGTAATCATTAGATTGACAAAAGGTGAATTCTCCAGCTAAGCTTAAGATAACACAGAAGATTAAGTCGATATGTTTATGGATCAAGCAGGTATGAAATCCTAGTGAAACAGCTTCTATCAGTATCAGGAGCTTTCCAACTAAAACTGAGATCATTAATATAAACATAGTTTAAGAATATATACAGGGAGGCTCTTTCAACGTCCAAAACTCAATAATTGAATACAGGTTTTTTTCTTTGAAAAGGACCTAGAACTCTTATCTAAACATGTGCTAGAAAGTGCACTAAGATTGTTGGCTCAGTCTCAGTTCTTCATTTTCACCTTATGTACCGAAGCCTCAGTTTCCTCATTTATAAAACAGGGTTACCATCAGTCCTGCCTATCTAAAATCACTGTAAATAATGTGAGGCAATACATATGCTTTTCAAACCATGATGCAATATTTGGAAAACATGGTGGATTTATCTGAGGATAAGACAATTTACCTAAAGACAATTTACTCCCTGATATATCACAGTACCTTATCTTAAGAACAAACAGATTTCTAGAGCAAAACGGTCTTCTGAACACAACTATGGTACTAAACCCAGGGAAGAATTCTGGCAGATCAAACACTGGATAAGTCTGTAAGAAAACTTAGACTATTACATACAATTCTTCATATATGAAAATTTGGTAGTCAGGAAACTTACAACTAAAAACATTTCTAAGTCAATAAAAAGGTCAATGAGCAATATTTTAAGTTAATGTAGAACACACTGTTAAGCTATAATATTCTAGAGAATGACCAAAAAAAGATCACCTGACTCTAAGAAAAAGGGACAGAAAAATGCCTGAGTGTCACATTAATAGAAAAACAGCTACATAATATAAAGGAATTGCCGTGATTAAACTGAGGGAGATCCAAGCTTTAGTAATAGCGCAAATCTTTACTCAGTGTTGAGATCAATATTTAGATCAAAAACAACTTAGTAAAGGAGCAAGGCACAGATAGAGGTAAGTATAGTAGAAAGCAGACTATATCAGGCAGACATACAACAAGGAAATCACACGGGCCCATTCACCCTGGACGGTTCTCACTTTCGCCTGTTTTCCTGGTGGAAGAACAGCACCCTCTTTCCCTCTCACTAGCATCCCAGTTTGGATGATGAATTATATGTCACCCATCTGTAATAACAACAACGTAGGCATATGAAGTTCATGTTACAGCTAATGCTATAGCCTTAATGCATTTGTAAAATGGGAATAGCTTCTGTACCCACCGGAACTCAGAGATCTTCCAGAAGATGATCTGAATTGTACTTAACTCAAAAAAAAAAAAAAAAAAATCTGCATAAATGCAGTGTCATGCTGTGGTCCTGAAAAGGGCCAGGAAAGGAGGGCAGCAAGGCCCAGGACTGGCAATACAGTCAGGCTAGACTGAGGAGTACAGATGCAGGTCCTGAACGCATCGTCCTATGCCTCTGCCCCCTTCCAGCCTGTAACAGTACTTAACATGAAACTCTTCAGGTAAATTAAAAATTAATGAAACAGGGATGAGAACAATTTTTTTAATGAAAACATGAAATTATCACTTGGTCGAAAGAAAGAGAAATAATTTAGAGGAAGGGGCTAAAAGACTTAGAAGTGGAAACCGGTTTGTGTTAGCTCTTAGAAAGAGGCAGAAGAACACCCCAATCTCCTTTCTACCTGCTTCCAAAATGAACAGCTCACATTTCAATGAACAATAAGTAGGGAGAGAAGAGGTAAGCAAAATGACAAACAGAATTTGGTGCTTTGAAGATTTTGGTGTATTGCAGAACATTAAAATGCTTTGCACATTATCCAACAGATGACTTCTTCCTAGATAAGAGATAGGTTGTCTTTCACAGATTTCTACATAAAGCCATTCAAAATCGTTACTTCTAGGATCTCTACAGATCAATAATTAGATACACTGCAACTGAGCACTAACTTTGAAAATTTGCAACCAAAATAAAAAGTCACAGAGAAAAATTAACAAACATAATATTTTTCAAAGGAAATAGAGATTTTAATCATGTCTCTATCAATAATATATAACCACAATGATAAGAGATTATCTCAGTAAGCAAAAATCAGGTGATGCAGAAGTAATAAGAATGAAGAATTAATATGTGATCTAAAATGCAATAAAAAATAACTGTTGAGCTTCTAAGCTAGAGAATAACACGAAGTGATACTGATGATGCATAACCAAGCTGCTTGTGCCTTTAAGACACAAATTAATAATTACCTATATTAAAAGAGAACAAATAACTACAAGGGAGTAAGTTTTAAGAACACAAGTTTTGTAATAGAGGTTATCAAATTACAGCCAACTCACTGTTCTTGCAAATAAAATTTTACTGGATTGTTATCTCCTTATTTCATGTATTATCTATGGCTGCTTGGCACTACAATGAAGTAGTGCGAAGTGCAATGAAGTAAAAGTTACAGCTACTATTAAGTAGTTGTAACAGAGACCATATGGCCTAAAAAGTCTAAACTATTTACTAACTGGCTCTACTAGCTATCTAGGGCTGCTTTGGCAGAGTACCACAAACTGGCTAAAAACAGTGTAAATGTATTCTGGAAGCTCTAAGCCTGAAATCAAGGTGTCAGCAAGGTAACATTGCTGAAGACTCTAAGGAAGAGTCTTAGTTTCTGGTGTCACCAGTACACCTTGTCATTCGACCTGCAGCTGCGTAATTTCAATCTCTGCCACCACTACCACATGGTCATCTTCTCCCCTGTGTCTTGGCTTCCACGTGACATGTTCCTCTCCTCTAAGAATACTAGCCATATTAGATGAAGGACCTGTGCCAGTATAACCTCATCGTATAACCTATTTGTATCTGCAATGACCCTATTTCCAAAGCTCTTCAAAATATGTTTTTTTTGGGAAAGACACATTTCCACCTGCAACATGGCCCTTTACAGAAAACATCTGCCAAATCCCAATTTAAAAGAACAAATATTGAGGAGAAGTAGTTCCAGAGTTGCTACTGAAGACTGAAATATGTCAAAAAGCAGTGCTGGGATTTTCTTTTAGATAAAATAAGTTTTAAGCAAAAGCAAGATCCAAAGATTCCAGGCAGAAAGCATATATGTAGGTCAGAAAAGTGGACTGACTGAGAGATGGAAGAAATCAGGAACAACCTAAGAATGAATGGGCATTCTCAGGGTAAGTGTTTTATGCAGCAGGTTAAGAAATGACCTTTAGAGGTTATTACTATTAGGTAACAATGTAATTAGACAAAGGGGTGAATAGAAGCTGTCACTGTTATAAAACATTAGGGAAAGATGTAGAAAATAATGTAATTTATCATCATATAAACAATGAAAAAAAAAAGGACCCTCTCAGCAGAGACAAAAATAACAAAAAGTTTAGCTAAATAGGTTCGAAAAATGACCAAAGGGTTTTCATTGCAATGAGATCACTACCAAATAAACAACTCTTGTGGAGAAACTAAGAGGGACATCACAGAGAAAATGAAAATGTTTAAGAAATAAAAAGTACAGATTATTACACTGGTGACCCTCAATGAACCTCAATTCTTGATGTTCCTGCCCTTGTATAATCCTCTCCCACATAGGCTCGAGTCTAGCCAGATGACTTGCTTTAGTCAATTTCATATTAATAAGCTTTGGCAAATAGAGGCATAATAACTTTCCTGTAGGAACCTGACTTCTTAGAATACCACCACCTGGAAGCCAGCAGCCCTGCTGAAAGTAAGCCTGAGCGAGACTCCTGATGATGAGAGGTCACATGGAGACAGGCTATGAAAGATACCAGACCACCTTAGAAGTCCCAGCCCTAGCAGAGCTCTGAAACGAATGCAACTGCCATAATGACATCAGTCTGTATCTTAGAGAACAGTAAAAGTAGCAAGCTGACTCCAAAAAAATCAGGAGAAATAATAAATTGTTTTAAGCCATTATATTTTGCAGAGGTTTGTAAAGCAGTTACCTACTGATAACTGGTAATGCCAGAATAAAATGTGTGTTTGAGAAATCAAGTCAATGAAACTGAGCATTCTTATAAAGCTGGTAAAGACTGGTATACACATTTAAAAGGTTAAAAAAAAGAAGAAGAAACATGAAAACATAGGGGTGAAATCAAAAGGTAAAGAAAAAAACTAAAGACGATGGAGTTGAGTCACAGGAGGAATGATGGGAAAATTTAAGACTAAAAACTCAGTAATTCTGCTTTATGAGAACACCATAGAAAACATATTCCACCTACTTCATCACTTTCATCTACTTCAATTCCACCATCTTTGTCATCATCCATTTGTTTATGTATTGTCTGAAGAGCTTCCAGACTAAATCTATCTTCTTCGGTAAAGCAGGGTGGACTCAGTGACATGCAAGGATCTGAAATAGAACAAAGGGCAATTACTAAAACATGCTGTAATTCAGAATTTAAATCTATCAGAAACTAGCAGACTTTCAAAACCAAGCAAAGACTTGTCACAAAAGTATAATAATATGAACACAACTGAGTAAAAATGATCAATTTTAATTGACAGGAGGCCAACTATAACGAGGAGTCACAGCAGCATTTCTTGTTTGTTTTTATAGATTTATCTATTTATGCATACAGAACTGGGGTACAGGCCAGAGGTGCAGGGGCAATGAGAGGATTCACCAGAGACAGAGTGGGGAGCAGAACAGGCAGACTGACAAAGTACACTGCTGAGGGGAGCAATGGGTGAGACAGCAAAGGTCTGCCACGCCATGTGGATCATCTCCAGAGCGGGGATCGAATTTGCACCAAAGCATAGCTTCTTAGTGCTGCACTTTAACCCACTGAGCCACCAGGCAGGGCCAACAGCAGTATTTCTATATGTTTCCATATCTTTAAGCATTTTCATCTAACCCAACTCATATTTACTATCACCCACCAAAAAAAAAAGATTGACTCACTTCTTAAAAAAAAAAACTAAACTAAAGAAGCTATTTTTGTATAATTCAGCTCAATTAAAATATAAGACCTGGGCCTCCCTGATGGCAAAGGTTAGGTTAAGTCTCAACACTATGACTACAAAGGCCTGAATTGATCTCTGGTCAGGGAACTTACTCACATAGCACAGGAGACCTCTCCTGTCTCACCTGCTGCCCCCCTCAGCAGTGTATTTCAGTACACTGGCCTGTTCTGCTCTCCTCTGTCTCCGGTGAATTCTTTCACCAAACCCCCACACCTCTCTCTGGTCTACACCCTAGTTCGTTCTTGGATGTATAAATAAATAAAATAAATCTTAAAAAAAAAATGTAAGATCTAGGAAAATATAAAGAACATTAAAAAAAAAAGAAACAGAACACTCACATGATTCTTAAAAACTGGTTTCTCATTTTTCTATTTAAGAGAATCCTAGGTTCCACCATATGACTATTGAAAAGGCATAACTTTTTCAGGCACAACAGAAAAAAAAAAGAGACTTAATTGTTTTAATCTTGTTCCCAATGCTTCTTTAACATACATTTACTGGTTATAAACTTCTTTGTATAGAAAATATGTCAATCCTCACACTGAGTTGTCAAAAATTAACAATTTAGAGAGAGCATGGAATTTTTTCATGGCTTAAAATCAGACTAACAAAAGGTACCTCCTATGGACGCAACAATACTAAACAGTCTATCTGCCAAAATGGAAAGGCACTGCCAAAATTTCACTGGTAAATGGACAAATTCCAGGAATTTATTTTCAGTAGTCTACTAGTTCACTAAAACAAATAGCCTTTAAAAACATCACTGGACTGACATATATTTCTAGAACTAAATGTAATGGCTATTAGTATAGTGGAGAGACCAGCTACAGTTTCACTGTCTCCTTAATTATAATCAGAAGTACAGCTTATCATTTTGGTCATCGTGAATACTTGTGGACAAATTAGTTATGTTTATATCTTAGCTTGACCTCAACTTAAAATAAAACTATTCAATAGTAGAGTAGATGCTTACATGACCTAATGCAGGCATAAGAGTCTAATTCTGTGTTTAGGGGGAAAAGCCAGTACTAGAAATCTATTAGTAATTTTATTTAAAAAAAAAAAAAAGCAAACCTGTATTACCCACAAATTCCAGTGACATCCCATTTTACCAATTTAACATATTTAATAACTATAACTCAAAGTATAATTTTAATTTTAGTCTTAGAAGGAAGGAGATTATAAAAATAAAAAGTACAATGGTATGTGATGTGTATAGGTATATAATTTAAACTTTGATCAAGGTTTAATAAAATCTAAGAACATGCATGTATGATGCTCAAACAGGATCTCTAAATTCACAAAACAACCAGAACCTGATATGCTCATGAGGCTGAATTCATTTGTAATTTTCTTTTATGTTCTGTCTTCCTGCTTCTGAACCTTTGTATCATTTCCTCTATTTAGAGTTACCTCTCTCACCCCCAACTTCAAAATTCTACCCCTCCTCTACCGCACAGCTCCACTTCTATTTCCTTCTCAAAAACTTTAACTACTGTCACAAACCAAAAAAAAAAAATTCTGGTGATTCTAACGGACTTTTAATGAAGTAATAATAATTACATGTTGCCTTGAAGTATTACTGGTATGTACGTCAAGAATATGCAATAGTGACTCAATCTGTAAACCCTTTTTACAGATACAGTCTTCTTGAGCCATCCTTACAAGCCACTGTGGCCCTCTGTGTCATTCCTGAAACTTTCATGAACAACCTCCCTCTGGACTCTGCTCCTGTTGGAATGCTCTATCCAGTATCAGCCCAGCTCACTCCCTCACTTTAAGCAGGTCTCCACTCAAATGTCACTTGATCAGAAAAGCCTTCTCTGACCATTGTGTATAATACAGAAGCATTTTCAACTATCCCCCTCAATAATCCTGACCCTATTTTCTCTTTTTATTATTGAGATAACATTGGTTTATATCATTGTTTGTATTTTAGGAGCCCAGAACACCACCCCCCTTCAAGTGTTATTACCAAAGTAGATCTATCACTACAGTACCCATGAATCATTTGTAATTATTTTGAATAGATATAAAGTGAAAGATAAGTTCTTAGATCTCATTACAACATATGGGGTAAATAAGGTCTATACACAAAGTGTCACTGCTCCTGGAGGCTTTTTTTTTTAATTTATTTATGTATTTATGCATATAAAAACTGGGGTACAGGCCAGAAGTACAGGTGGTGAGAGGATTCACCAGAGACAGAGTGGGAAGCAAAACAGACCGATCTACTGAAATACATGCTGAGGGGAGCAGTGGGTGAGACAGGAGAGGAAGGCACAAGACATTTTATATATATATATATATATTTCATTTAGCCAAATAAGCACATGGAGTGAGAGTCATTGCATCTAGTATATATGGGAAGGGTCAGCATCACTCAGATTAAACAGGCGCTGTTGTCAAACTCTCTAAGAGAAGTCCAACAGAGAAGGCTCCAAAACCTTACTAGCTTTAAGTGAAATTATAAGGAACATATGACCTGTGGGGGAAATCTGTAAAATAAAACTGGTAATTTTTTACTTAAACTAACATTTAATAAAATGCTGTTTTTCATGGTATACTTCAGGATGTAACTTCCCCATCACATATTTCAGAACTACCATTTCCTAGTTGTGCTGACTCCTCTCGATACCATTCCATCCATTTCACAATTATCTTCTGAGCACCCACTATGTGTATGGCACTGGAAATGCCATAGTGAGTCAAAGAGTTAAATATTCCTCAGACAACTTATATTCTAGAGGGGGAGATGAGCATAACAAAGTAAGTTAAGTAAAAGGCAGCCTTTGAGCGGTGGTTAAGTATTAAGGAGAAACACAGAATAGGAAACACAAGTAAAGTGCCAAGGGATATGAAATTTTCAAGTGTATCATTAGTTTTATATATTATCCACCTAAGTTTTCAATGTTGTACTTGATTAATCTTCAATTATTTTAAGTATCATTTTGTCTATACAACTAAGTTTATGAGTAGAACAAGAATCATATTCTTCCATTTTCTACAAACTCAATATACCCAGGACCTAACAGTACATTTTAGGACTCTGTTTTTCCAGATATTCTGTTACTTCATGTATTAACAGATATCCTAAAGACCTAAGCTTCTACTCTGTGTCAACCAGGGACTAACAAAAGGAATTAAAGAGGTAATAATATTCTGTAGTCAAGAGAGTTTACAATCTAGTGAGAAAGAAAACATGCAGACTACTACAGTACATAGTGTTAGATATCACTAAGAAGATCAGTTCAGGGTATTATGAGAGCATGGAGAAAGGGCATCTAACCCAGACTAAGAAAGTCAGAAGCTTTCTAGAAGTAAATTTGGAGTTTAAAGGAGATTAAAGCATTCCCAGAAGAAAAAAGAAATATCAAACATTTAATAACATGAAAAAATAAAAACATGGAACATTCAAAAAAACCAAGTGGTTAATATGTGAAAAAGAAGCTGAAAGCTGATCAAAATGGACCAGATCTCTAAAAGTGTTTTCCATATATAAAGGATTCACAGCAAGGACTAGGCAGGTTTGTTATAGATAAATCATTCTAGTGATGGTACAAAGTGGGGTGGAGGCAGCCTGGAGGCACAGCTGCCAGGAAGTGCTAAGGTAATCCTGGCAGCACCCGCAGTCCATGCTCTGCCACCAAGGAATGGAGGAGGCAAATAATGAAGATTGCTCTCGGGTTTCATGTTTTGCCAAGCTGGAGCAGCAGAAGGAAAAGAAAGACAGGAGTTAAAGATAACGCAAGAGTGAGCTATTTCTCCATTGTACCAAAATTTTATTTCCTTTTGGTACAATGACTTAAGAAATCTAACTTAGAACAGTTATGAATGCTCAACTTCATTATGTGTTCTAAAGTTTTTTTCATTTTTTTCTCAGCTAGAAAAGAAGACTTACAGGTTAAATGAGCACAAGTGGTCATTTTAACTCAAATTAGTTGACTAAATTTTCTTTCAAAATATACAAACTACTAAGGTCTATGCATACAGTAAATCAAGCATAATGGTTTCAAAGACAACTACTAAAACATCAAAATCATTCTCCTTTGTCAACATCCCATAGACATCGACCTTAGCTACTTAATCGCACCAGTGTGATTACATATTCCACAGCCAGGCATATCTATCTGCTTACCAGCACTCATTTATGCATTTATAGTGCAGACAGGGAGCGCCTTAATGTGCCAGGTCCTACGCTCAGTGAGGCCAGGCAGTATGATCACTAAGACAAATTTCCTTCACTTGCTGACTTCATCTTGCATTCAATGCAATATGATATGGTTTATCTCTTCAGCATTTACACTGCTGAGCATTCATTTTTACTCTAGATCAAGACTAGCACTTTCCACTAAGGAAAATGGAATCTGTTGAAATAGAATAGGA